TATATATATATATATATATATATATATATATATATATAGAGAGAGAGAGAGAGAGAGAGAGAGAGAGAGAGAGAGACAGAGAGAGACAGAGAGACAGAAATGTATACGAAGGGTGTGGAAAGATTATTGCAATCTGGGTATAACGATAAACTACATCAGGCAGCATGGTCCCTGATCGAAAGACTGGAGGTTTTGTGGAGAGTGGGGCCACCTCTTCATTGTTATTGTACCCAGGACCACTTTGACCCGAGGTGGTAGCACCTGTTAGGGTCTAAGCTATGGGCAAATAGTGAACCCCCACACAAACATCAGCAGTGCATTTTTATAATAAAATGATCAACAATACATTTTTATCGCAAAATGACAATCAATTCAACACTAAAAATATAAAAAACCATGTCTTTACTCTGAAAGTATCAAATTATGTAAAAATATCTGTAGTTGAAAATATAAAATTGCATAAAAAATATTTTGATTTCCGCATTATATTACCCATAGAGGTGTTGATATACCACTAAACAAAATCAAACAACCAATAGGAAAGAACTCTTTCATGACATTAATCCATAGAAAATCCTAGAATTTTCTTAAAGAAATCAAACCTTATTCCAAAATATAACTTTAATAAAACTACAAAATAAAGCAAGAAATTATATGCGCAAAATTTGAGTAAGAAAGTTTAATTACGGCATTAAATGACCCATAAGGAGTTGATGTGCCATTAAACAAACAAAACAAACTGGAAGATTATTAAGTTTGAAACGCTTCCCAAAATTTGAGCGTTATTTTGTCACTCTAAGTGGGATAATTTTTTCTGTCTGATTGTAAAATGCCAGTTTTCCCCGAATCGTTGCTTTTGGTTTGGAATTTCTGTCGGAAACATTTTGTGAAATTCGTCAAGGAAAAGTATGGACTGTGAAAGTACTGAAATCTGTTCTCTCGTGACTTTCCTACAGAAGAAAAGTCCAAAGGAAATCCTATAAATTCTTGTGGAAACCCTTTCCGAGTTCTTGCTTCCCTGCCAACTACAATCTTCAAAAATTTAAATGCGACGTCAATATCCATCTTCTGTCTTCTTCTGTTCTTTTATTGTCCTTTTCTTCTATTCTCCTCGGTAAACTCTTCTCATTCTCTTTCCATGTAACCCCAGGTGTCCCTGTGGTATTATCACCATGCTTGGGGTGAAATAATTTTACAAAAATGGATAATATGCCTCCAATCATAATCAACTGGCAAAAAGTAATGATTCAACCCAAGATGCGGGGTGTCTTCAATGCCGTCAACCCATGTTGGTCATATCCATGACTTTAGGGCAATCGATACATCACGACCAAAAAACTGTTAATTATTTTTTTTAAGTTTACCTGATGAAAGGCCAAAGAGCCTATTAAGGTAGATGTTTAGAGAATGAGGTTGTTGTATGAGCGCTAAGAGTAAGAATCACTGTTTCTAAGAATGTGAGGAGCAGATAAACAGATAATCCTAGATATTAAGATTCTAGTTATCGGAGAAATTTAAGACCCAATAGGAAAGACCATATTCACGGTTTGTGGTATAAGAAAAGTATTTTCCTGACCGTCTGTCTTCGAATGGGCCAATCAGTTAATGCCGTGTCATTTCAGGAAGGTAGGTGATTATGGCTCTCCACAATTTTCTGTCCTTTGTAGCTCTTAATAAATTTTGTCATTCTCTTATTTCTCCTAAAACTTGTTCCGCCATCCATTGACGTACTGCACACAAAAATACGTATCTATATTTGTTACTTGATTTATATAAGTACAATTCTTTGCAGGGCTGTCAAAAGCACACCATATCCAAATCCATTGCCTTCTCACCTCCGTTGGAGGAACTTCTCCCCGATTGATCATGTCTTCAGGGATGTAGCCATATTACGCTTGACCAATTTTGGATTGGTATAGCTATTTAAGTTGGAGATTTCGAATTCAGAGTTGTCCTTCATCTAGAACGGTTGCCACTCAAGGCTATAGGACTCATATAGGAGGTTTCGAATTCAGGGTTATCGTTCCACTAGACCGGTTGCCACCCAAGACTATGGGACTCAAGTTGGAGGTTTTGAATTCAGGATTATCGTTCCTCTAGACCGGTTGCCACCCAATGCTATAGGACTCAAGTTGGAGGTTTTGAATTCAGGATTATCGTTCCTCTAGACCGGTTGCCACCCAATGCTATAGAACTCAAGTTGGAAGTTTTGAATTCAGGGTTATCGTTCCACTAGACCGGTTGCCACCCAAGGCTATGGGACTCAAGTTGGAGGTTTTCAATTCAGGGTTATAGTTCCTCTAGACCAGTTGCAACCCAAGGCTATAGGACTCAAGTAGGAGGTTTTGAATTCAGGGATATCGTTCCTCTAGACCAGTTGCAATCCAAGGCTATAAGATCCAGTCTATTTACTCATACCTGGGGAGACAAAGGATTGGTTCATATCTTACACAAGACTGTTTGCATATAAGTGAATGTAACAAATTCGGCTTGAATACGA